ATAGCTAAACTTACCTTATTTAAACTTGTCCCCAAGCCTACTAGATCATTAGTAAGACCAATAAAATCTACTTATTTGCGTGTACCAAAGAAAACAGTTTCCTACTCAAAACCCACGGGCAGACTTTATATATAAGCTCCGTTAACTCCCAAACCTGACATATCATCTTTTCCCATTTATTCCATTCAATAATGCTCTATATTAAAATCGTAGCACAAAGACTTGTTGTATCTTAAAAGTACGCACTCTAAGAATGAGAAGAAAAAAAAAGGACAGTTACGCATCGCACGTCATGTATAATTTGTTCGTTCATAAGTTCAGTTTTAATAAAGAAAACCTTGTTATGTTCTTGTGTTCTACCATCCAGAAATTATAAAAGTGGCGACGAGGATTAAAAGTTTATTGACGATGTTAAAAAGTGCCGTGTTTTCGAAATAAAAGTTCCAATACTCAACGCACGTACGTAAACGTCAAATTTTCTTTCAATTATGGATCCTAATCAATTTCAACAAATGATGGCAATGCTTGCCCAATGTTTACAGTCAAGTCAAACTATTCAACCGCCAGTTCATAATGTTAATGTTGTGGGTAACTTTGACAGTTTCGATGCAGAGAAGGAAAGTTTCGAAAATTACAAGCAAAGGTTAGAAAATTTTCTCCAGTTGAAAAACGTTTTTGGTGATAAACACGTTTGTGCAAAAGTGTTATTAAATTGCATAGGACCGCGATATTATGAATTGGTTAAGTCATTGGCGGCACCCGAAGATGTTACAGTATTGGGATATGACAAAGTTGTGGAATTACTTTCAAGCCATTTGTGTCCTAAGCCAAATGTAGTGGTCCAACAGCATAGGTTTATGTGTCGTTTTCAAGGAGCCACAGAATCAGTCGCAGATTTTATAGCGGAATTAAGACGTCTAGCTTATACTTGCAGTTTCAAATGTGACTGTGGTAAGTCAATCTCTGATATTTTTCTACGTGCTCAATTTATACGAGGGTTGCGTGACACAAACATTCGCGAACGAATTCTAACAGAAGAAAAAGAGACATTAACATTACAAAAAGCAATAGATGTAGGATTAGGATTAGAAGCTTCTAGAATTGACAATGCAGAAATGTCAAAACAGTGTCAAAGTCAAGTAGGTTCCAGTTCAAATACGTCAAATATTAATCTAGTCAATAAGTCAATACCTAAGAATAAATTTTATCAAGACAATCGTTCAAAATCAAGAAGTCGTCGTGAAAATCGCGATAATAGGAGCCGTCCGCGTTCAAAAAGCAGACTCAATTATAAAGATTTGGGTATCGATCATTTGTGTATAAGATGTGGACGTGACAATCATAAAACTAACGAATGTCGTATTGCTCTGTATAAGTTAAAATGTGAATTCTGTAAAAAAGAAGGTCATGTTGCAACTGTATGTATTTCTAAACTATTGAAAAATCAGTCTAAAGCTCATCAATATCAAAGGACAAAGACAGATTCGGTGAACAATATTTACAAATGTGATTTCAGTGATATTTGTATAGTAGACATTTTCAAAAATTCAGATCCAGATGTCCGTAAATATTTTGTAAATGTATATATAGAAGGTGTAAAACAACGATTCGAAGTTGATTCTGGTGCAGGCTACACCTTAATATCAGAAAGTCTTTTCAAATCATTATCTCTTCAAAATGTTCAAATTAAACCCGCAAATGTTCGTTTCCGGTCGTATACAAGTGAGATATTTGATCCAATTGGGGTAGTTGAAGTCCATGTGCAATATAAAAATAAAGTGGGTACACAAAAGATGTACATTGTTCCGGGTGATCATGTACCGCTTCTTGGACGATCATGGATACGACAACTTGATATAAATCTAAAAGAATTAGATTTAGTAAATGATGTGAACAATCAAACCATTTATTCAGTAGAAACGATTAGCAAAGATTTACAGCAAATTAAAAGTAAATTTTCTACTATTTTTAAGCCAGTAATTGGTTGTGTAAAAAACTTCAAGTGTTCACTAAAAATGCGCGATAACTCAAAACCGACATTCTTTAAAGCCCGGGAAGTTCCGTACGCATTACGGGAAAAGGTAGAACAAGATAGAACAAGAACTATCCATACTGGAAGAACAAGGAATTATTTCAAAAGCAGACTCATCATCAGACTGGGGATCACCATTAGTTATCATTCCGAAGCCAGACTCTACAGTGCGGTTGTGTGCCGATTACAAAATTGGAGTAAATCCACAGATAGTTCAATTAAATTATCCAATACCTAAAATAACTGAAATGATAGATAAATTGCGTAACGCCAAATATTTTTGCACACTAGATTTGTTTAAAGCATATCTACATATTCCTGTTGATGAAAAGAGTTCAAAAATTCAAACGGTAACTACACATCGTGGAACGTATATCGTAGATCGTCTCTCATTTGGTATTAAATCAGCGCCTAGTGAGTTTAATCGCATATTGGACAGTATTTTAGAAAATGTGCCAGGAGTTTCATCTTACTTCGATGATATTATAGTTTATGGTTCAAATTACGAAGAATGCAAGAATAATGTAATACAGTGTTTAAAACGGTTACAAGAAAATGATTTACATTTAAATTTCAAAAAGTGCACATTTTTTCAAGAAGAAGTTACATATTTGGGTTATGTGATTAAAGCCGGTATTGTTTCCAAATCACCTGACAAAGTTCAATCAGTAATAAATGCAACTAGACCACATGATGCCAGTGAAGTAAAGCAGTTTCTTGGACTAGTAACTTATTACTCCCGATTTATTCCAAACGCTTCAACTCTAACGTATCCGCTTCGACGATTACTTCAATTAAATACTAAATTCTACTGGTCTGCAGAGTGCGAATCCGCATTTATTCGAATTAAAGCAGAAATTGCTAGTGATCGTGTTCTTACACCCTATAATCCTGAATTGCCAGTAATAGTCGCTTGTGATGCAAGTCCTGTCGGTGTTGCAGGTGTTTTGTCACATATAATAGATAAAGTCGAAAGACCCGTTGCATTTATTTCCAGATCATTAACAGCAACAGAAAGAGGGTATAGCCAGTTAGGTCGTGAAGCTTTAGCTATCTATTGGACAATTCAAAAATTTTATAATTATTTTGTCGGACAACCGTTCACGCTTATCACTGACAATCAGCCGTTAACAAGAATTTTCCATCAGAATAATAAAATACCAATTACTACATCAAATCGGTTGCTCCGTTATGCAACATTTCTCAGTGGTTTTCAATATAAGGTCGAACATAAAAGGGGTAAAAACCACCAGAACGTTGACTGTTTATCAAGATTACCTTTAACAAGAAATACTCTGGTAGAAGAAGATGACACTGACATTATTAATGATCAAATAATAAATCAAATTTCAACTTTTACATTAAATAGTGATTCAATTCGAGAAGCTACATCAACTGATAACGAACTCCTTAAATTATGTGAGGATTTACAGAAGGGGACAAATGCTAATCCAGAATACAATGTTCATCGAGATATTATATTTAAAGGCCAGCGTGTTTACATTCCAAACAAATTGCGTTCACACGTTTTAAAAGAGTTACATTTCACACACTTGGGAATTTCAAAAATGAAAAACTTATCACGCAAACATTGTTATTGGCCAAAAATAGATTCTGACATCGAACAATACGTCAAAAATTGTCAAGAATGCAGTGAAAACATAAATCTGCCTCCAAAAGCCGAAACACATCATTGGCAAGAACCTAGATATAATTTTGAAAGAGTACATATGGATTATGCCGGTCCATTTCAAAATAGACATTTCCTTATTTTAGTCGATGCAAAGTCAAAGTGGCCAGAAGTCCGTATTTTGAATGAAAGTCCAACATCAACTGCCACAATTAACCTGCTACAAGATATTTTTGCCTCAAGTGGATTTCCTCAAGTATTAGTGTCCGACAACGCAACAATTTTTAAAAGTACGGAATTCGAGGAATTCTGCAAAATGAGTGGAATTTCACAAAATTTCATCGCTCTAGGAAACCCGTCAACGAATGGTCTAGCCGAAAGATATGTACAAATTTTGAAGAATAAATTGAAGATGATGGCCAAAGACCCAATGCCATTGCATTGGAAAGTTGGTGAAATATTGTTTCGATTCCGAGCTACGCCGCTAAAATCTGGAAAAAGTCCAGCTGAAATTTATTTTAATCGACCATTTCGAAAGTTAGATGCAATGCGGCCAAATCCAGTTCAAAAGCCAAATGATATATCTACACTACGACATCGTATATTAAAAGTGGGAGATCGTGTACAATCAATACACTATCCGACTAAGAGTTGGAAATATGGAATAATAATCAGGAAACTTGGTAATTTGCACTACATTGTAAAGTTAGATGATGGTTATATGATCAAACGCCACATAAATCAATTAATCAAGTCTGAAATTAATAGCTGCGGAGATAACATTAAGAATAAAATACTGTACGTGAAATGAAGATTCCAGAAACAAGAAGAGACATTTTAAATTTTGCAAATAATAATCAAATGATGATTCCAGCTCCAGCTCAAGATGAACAGCTCAGACGTAGTCAGAGAAATCGTAGGAAGCCACTCAGGTTAGCAGATTATGTTCGATAATTTAATAGTTAAATATTTTATTTTAAATTTATATATTGTTGTTAAATGTTATCTAGTTTCAAATTAAGCGCACGAGAATTGTTGTATCTTAAAAGTACGCACTCTAAGAATGAGAAGAAAAAAAAAAGACAGTTACGCATCGCACGTCATGTATAATTTGTTCGTTCATAAGTTCAGTTCTAATAAAGAAAACCTTGTTATGTTCTTGTGTTCTACCATCCAGAAATTATAAAGACGCAAACCGGTAAAACGGAAATTAACGCAGAACTTAATTAATGTGTCTAAAATGCGAATTCAATCGATAACCCCCAGTTATACACACTTTTAGCATAGTGATCGCGTTCGGTGTAGGTACGTACATTAAAAAGAAATGGAAAAACTCACAATATTTGCTTTTCTCTGCGGCGGAAAGGGTAGCAATTCCCAGCAGGAAAGATATGGAGATTAAAAACATTCCCCAAGGGGGTCCGGGCCCCCTATTTTCCCGTTGCATTTCTTCTACTCGCCACTAAAGTCACATCACACTATATACACGGTTCCTGGCGGCACTCAAAGAATATTTTCAATAACATCGCAAGCCCCGGCGGCGAGGTTAAAAATTCGATAAACAACACCGACACGTTTATTTCATCCTGCGAACCAAAAAGGCGTCTCGCTCACCTCAACGATATGACTCATTGCTATTTAAAATAACGATATTTGCACATTTAGTTCAACGTTAACTGTATTGAGTTCAGATATGTGTGTTTGTAACGATGTTTAACCCGAATGTGATTTTACACGCGTTTTTCGCGCAGGACTCCTGGAAAATCGATGTCTCCACCGACGTCGCGACTCCTTTCGGTACTATGTGGGCTATCTTACAGCAGAATCTTTAATTACGTTTAGGAAGAGAGCCTTATCACTGACTAAAATGTGTTGTAAAATTTTGAGGAACCAAAGAAAAAATATACTTTTTTTCTTGTAGTTATAATTCGTATATTTATGGGCGTCATGTTTCGTTGCTAACACAATAGGAAAGCTGAATTTGGTGTACAGAACATTTTTCATGGATATATCCCGGCTACATTGTAGAAAGTGTTCATTAGTTATAATTATTTATTTATTATATTAAAGATACAACTAAAGCTGAATGCTCAATGCGCACAAAAAAGACCGTTTAAAATTTGATGAATTGATAACGCTAAAAAACGTTTTTATTCATACAATATAGAAAACCAAATTCGGAAGATGAGTATCAAGGAAAGATTACATACATAGGAAAGTCAAGGTATTTATAAAGCACGTAACAAGATCGATGAGGACACTTACGTATTTTAACTGACGAAATTTTAAACAATGTTTTTAATAGTACACTTTGCAAGTAACTCAGAAATCCGAATAAACATCGTTAGTACGAAGGCGGATGTGACGCAATATTTCCGGAAATATGACGCGTTTTATTCGAGAACATTCTAGAACACTCGGAACTTTCGAGAAAGAGGGGCGTTTGCTACATAAGCAAATCGAATCAGACAATTACAATTTTCACACCGACGTAAAACTAGTTCGCGCTGTTATAAATTGTTTATATGTGAGCGATAAATAATATTTTTAACTGTTATCATTTATAAATAAAATTCATTTGAAGTGTTATAAGTTTATTGTTAACTAATTTTTGGAAAAAAAATCACTTTTTAACACTTACAAATAGCGCACCACTGGTTTGTATGTGATGTACTTCAGTCCACCATAGCTCCCAGCAGGTTTCATTAAATCTTCACTTCACAATTTTCAACGTTTGCAATGAAAGATTTTCTGAATAGTCCTGGCGAGTTGAAAGACTAACACTGCATCTGAAACAAACTAAAGATCTTCCCATAAGCTTGAAAACGAAGTTCATAAACCATTTTAGCCTAATTTTCCACATCCGTATTGGAAATTTCTGAAACTGAAACAGGTCTAGCGGGTTGAAAGACGACCAAAATTGTATCTAAAACAAACACAAAACTTGAAAAAATTGTTCATTGAACTTTTTATCATCCATAGTGGAAATTACGGCCTTTAGAAGGTCTTCGGAAACTCTGGCAGACTTTGTGGGTTGACGGATGCTAAAAATTACATCTGAAACAGGCTTATACAATTTATAAGGTCCTCTAATTCCCAGATATCTTAAAAACGAAGTTGATTTAATCTTTTCCAAAATCCGTAATAGAGATTGTAATTTTGAGAAGGTTTGAAAAGTGAAAGAGGAACTTGCTAGTTGAAAGAAGTCTTAAATTGCGTATGAAACCAAACTTAAGCAATTTAAAAGGTTCCTTAGACCCAAACTTTCAAACCGAAGTTCATGCAACCTTCTATAATCATTTTTAACATACTGTAACGGAAACGCTCCAGACATGACGTCGCCTTTGGCGCTCTGGAATTTTCTAGGCGCGCGATGGTGGGAATGTTTGCAGCGTGTCTGGTAATTGCGCGAATGTTCTGGACTTACATTGCTTGCGTGTATAAATGGTTGCGGACCGAACATCGCGGCAGTTTTACTACCGAACGAGATCGAGTACGTATGAAACATCGAGCGCGGAAATATAAATTGCGAAGTGTGTGATATAAATAGTCGATATAAATTGTACGGTTTTTATAGTGTTTTAGTTTTGTTTAATAAATATTGATATAAATCGAACCCGAATTTAATAAATCACGTTACAATACATAAAGGAAAGGTTTCTGAAGCTAAAATAGACCTGACTGTTGAAGAAAGCATCTAAAACAATTCTAAGCAAGATATAAGACACTCTAGCCTCCAAAACTTGAACAGAAAGTCCAAGCAGAGTTCTATGTCCATTTTCCACACACGTAATGGAAATTCTACTCTTCTGAAGATTTTTTTAAGCTTACGGAGTCTTGGGGACGCCGCGAAATTTCACCTGAAACAAGCATAAGCAACATAAATGGCCCTTTAAGTCCTGAATAATTGAAAAATGGTTCATAAAACCCTTTTATCGTCATTGCCCTGTTCCGAAATGGACCTAATAAGATTTTCTGAACCATAGGCACACCTGGCGCATCTGTAACAAACTTTAATTTATAAGATCCTCCAATGGTAAGTTTATACAATCATTATCATTAGTTTGCTATCATTAGATCATTAAGAAATATCAAATAGAAACAAAGGTATAGTTTCGTTGGTTAGAGACGTAATGATCTAATGATAGTGAACTGATGATAATTATTATGTTGTGCTATGGGTATAGTGGAGGTTATTCTTCTATAACCAATAATATATTATTATCCTCAATATATTTTTAGTATAATGATTTAATGGAATAAGGATAATCAAGTAATTAATAATTTTAAATATTTCGGGAATATTTTGTATTTGGGTGATACGCTGTCCAATTTTGTGGACAACCTTTTGCGATTTGATATCGAGAAAAAAACCAGTATTTCTTTTGGTATCTGAATTGATTTTATTGTTATTACTACCCTCGTATCTGCTCAATTTCACACGGAGGGAGTTGGAGGGGGGGAAGTAGAGTGGCGCTTAACCCCATTGGTAAGTGGTAATGGAGGATGAAGATCTCAAGCTTTTATTTTATTTTCTATCCCTGAGCTAGTTGGCCGTTTATGCGGCGGGTTTGAGTTTAAGCATCAGTGCGAACTCTGACTACTGTTATACAATGTGAGCAAAAAAGGAGCCCCCCCCCCCTCCTCGCCCGGAAGTGCGCGACGGCCTTAAATCTTACGATGGTAGACCGGAATCAGGTGTTCTGTGACCGGCATTCTCTCCTGGCGAGCAGAAGACTCGTCCCGACGGTTTATGTATCACCAAAAACCAAAATCGCAGACTTAGTGAGGATTTCTGAAGCTCAAGCAGACCGTCTACTTGAAAGCAACTAAAATAATTCCCTCCACAGTCCCAAAAACTTGAAACTTGAAGGTTTATTAAAACTTCAATCATCATTTCAAATATTTGTAACGAATATTGCACAATTTAGAAGATTGAAGCTAACGTAGCCCTTGCGGGTCGAAGAAAGTCACACATTTCAGCTGAAACCATCGGAATTTCTGGATTGCGGCCGACCTGCAGTTGTTTAGTCGCCTCTTACGACACGCAGTGCCCTCTGCGGTAGGGGTATTCTTTCCCGCCCCTACACGGGGAAAAACTGACATATCTAACTATTTTTACAGATCTTGTAGAATAACTGAAACCGGTAACGATGAAGCATATACTATTTTCATTTTAAGAAGGTAGCGGGAGAAAACATGGGAAGCTTTGACATTCACTGTGATTGGTTAAAGCACGAGTCAGTGTTACGGTGAAAAATAAACTGAGTGAGAAATTTTGTTAAGTTTGTAATCTGTTGCCAACTAAACTGCCCTACCGTCATTAGTTGTCAATGTCAAAGATCCAAGCGTGAAATCGTTTGATTAATTTCTGTTTTTTTTTTCAAATATGGTGCCTAAAATCACTAAATATAGAAAGTACCGCAATCCTTGGGCTCGTGTGTTAGAGAGAGAACGCATGATTTTTGCCCAAAAATGGCGGAAGTTACCAGATTCTAGTAACTTTAATGTTAGGGATTGTTCCACCTGTTTGGAGATATCTGTACCTATATATTTTTTTTCACTACTAGCGTCTGATGACATGATTATTAACCTTTTTTCCACTTGTAAAGTAGGCTTTCTCGGCATTTGTTCAAAGTGGTTAATAATTTTTTATTATTAACTAGTAGTCAATAATGAGAACTGTCACGCTGTCACTTTTAGAAAACACAACCCGAAATTTCGCTCAATGAACGTTTAGACAAGTTCTCTAAAACGAATAATTGCCACCATTCGCAATTTCCAGAGAAATTACATACCTAAAATTATCACATTTTGAAAAAATTCGAACGAAATTACTCTTTGAAAAATCTCAATGACAGAACAAAATACGGCCTGTTTGACTTGTACTTCCACGTACTCCTTTGACATGTTAAATTAAGAAACAAACAATTCTGTCCAACCGTTAACTCTCTTATCAATATAATATGTTAATTTAGAGGATTTCAAGTGCTAGTAGTGAAAAAATAGTATATATACCACGGTAGAGAAGTCTATTATTGCCTTCGCACCTTACACCCCTCGGCGCAAGCGCCTCGAGATGTAATCTTGGTGCTCAGGCAATAATAGTGGACTTCTCTACCTTGATATATAATGTACTATTATAAAACATGACCGTACTATGAAGTTAGGTTATACAAAATTACAGCTATTCAGATTTTAATTGTCAATTTTTTTAAGTTGTCAGCAAATTTGCCCAAAAATGGCGGATGACTTTCTATATCTAGTGACTTTAATGGTGCCGTTTTATATTTTTCCTGTGTGTGATTTTCTTCAAACACTGCGCCACCCACTAGCTCAAATAATTAATGCAGTTTAAAGTCAAAGATACTAAAAGTAAAAGAAGTAGTTTGCCGAAAAATGTAATGCTAAAATTGCAAATACAATAGGACTGCTTCCTCGGTAAGCTTTCCATACCTTAGGCTAGGGCATTAGAGGGACAAAAGATGCCCCCCGCTGTAACTATGTGTACCAGGATTTCTCGTAATTTTTAACCACCCGAAAGTAGTTTCAATTTCAACACGTTCTCTCAATTGCACGATTCTTGGGTAGACGGTAAATGACCAAATTATTAAATCTTTCAAAAAATAGGGTTTCCAGTGCAGGAAAGGAAGGCTTTCTAATCATATGTTAGTTGTCTTATCATGGTACTTACAGTTTTAGAGATAGTAACGTTAGAAATAAGAGAGGAAATTA